GTGTTGAGTTTACCTGTTCTCTGGTGTTAAGTTTACATGTTCTCTGGTGTTGAGTTTACCTGTTCTCTGGTGTTGAGTTTACCTGTTCTCTGGTGTTGAGTTTACCTGTTCTGTGGTGTTGAGTTTACCTGTTCTGTGGTGTTGAGTTTACCCGTTCTCTGGTGTTGAGTTTACCCGTTCTCTGGTGTTGAGTTTACCTGTTCTGTGGTGTTGAGTTTAAATGTTCTCTGGTGTTGAGTTTACCTGTTCTGTGGTGTTGAGTTTACCTGTTCTCTGGTGTTGAGTTTACATGTTATTTGGCGTTGAGTTTACATGTTCAGTGGTGTTGAGTTTACATGTTCTCTGGTGTTGAGTTTACCTGTTATTTGGTGTTGAGTTTACATGTTCTCTGGTGTTGAGTTTACCTGTTCTGTGGTGTTGAGTTTACCTGTTATCTGGCGTTGAGTTTACCTGTTCTGTGGTGTTGAGTTTACCTGTTCTCTGATGTTGAGTTTACATGTTCTTTGGCGTTGAGTTTACCTGTTCAGTGGTGTTGAGTTTACCTGTTCTGTGGTGTTGAGCTTACCTGTTATTTGGTGTTGAGTTTACCTGTTCTCTGGTGTTGAGTTTACCTGTTCTCTGGTGTTAAGTTTACCCACTGTCAGGTGTTGAGTTTACCTGTTCTCTGGTGTTGAGTTTACCTGTTCTTTGGTGTTGAGTTTACCCACTGTCATGTGTTGAGTTTACTCACTGTCAGGTGTTGAGTTTACCCACTGTCAGGTGTTGAGTTTACCCACTGTCAGGTGTTGAGTTTACCAACTGTCAGGTGTTGAGTTTACCCACTGTCAGGTGTTGAGTTTACCCACTGTCAGGTGTTGAGTTTACCCACTGTCAGGTGTTGAGTTTACCAACTGTCAGGTGTTGAGTTTACCAACTGTCAGGTAAACAGTTGAGTTTACCCACTGTCAGGTGTTGAGTTTACCTGTTCTCTGGTGTTGAGTTTACCCACTGTCATGTGTTGAGTTTACTCACTGTCAGGTGTTGAGTTTACCCACTGTCAGGTGTTGAGTTTACCTGTTATTTGGTGTTGAGTTTACCAACTGTCAGGTGTTGAGTTTACCCACTGTCAGGTGTTGAGTTTACCCACTGTCAGGTGTTGAGTTTACCCACTGTCAGATGTTGAGTTTACCCACTGTCAGGTGTTGAGTTTACCCACTGTCAGGTGTTGAGTTTACCCACTGTCAGATGTTGAGTTTACCCACTGTCAGGGGTTGAGTTTACCCACTGTCAGGTGTTGAGTTTACCCACTGTCAGGTGTTGAGTTTACCCACTGTGAGGTGTTGAGTTTACCTGTTCTTCGGTGTTAAGTTTACCTGTTCTCCTGGTTCTGGGGACAAAATTTAGAACTCAAGTATACTTGGTGGTTGGTCACTAAGCTATTGTGTTGGTCTTAATGGCCCTCCAGAGGTTGACAGGACTTACTAAGACCCAAGAGGATGATATATATAGGCTTTAATAAAACTTTATTGGTTTACATAGGCCTTGAGCCTAGGCCTAAACACCAGTGGGATGTTGTTGTTATAGAGTCAGCTACTTGGAACTAAAAGTTTCCAAGTAGCACGGGCTATGGTGAGCCCGTAGCGGACTTACCTGGCACAGGAGCGGGGCAAGTAGCACGGGGTATTGCGAGCCCGTAGTGGACTTACCTGGCACAGGAGCGGGGCAAGTAGCACGGGCTATGGTGAGCCCGTAGCGGGGCAAGTAGCACGGGCTATGGTGAGCCCGTAGCGGACTTACCTGGCACAGGAGCGGGGCAAGTAGCACGGGGTATTGCGAGCCCGTAGTGGACTTACCTGGCACAGGAGCGGGGCAAGTAGCACGGGCTATGGTGAGCCCGTAGCGGACTTACCTGGCACAGGAGCGGGGCAAGTAGCACGGGGTATTGCGAGCCCGTAGTGGACTTACCTGGCACAGGAGCGGGGCAAGTAGCACGGGGTATTGTGAGCCCGTAGTGGACTTACCTGGCACAGGAGCGGGGCAAGTAGCTCGGGGTATGGTGAGCCCGTAGTGGACTTACCTGGCACAGGAGAGGGGCAAGTAGCACGGGCTATGGTGAGCCCGTAGCGGACTTACCTGGCACAGGAGCGGGGCAAGTAGCACGGGGTATTGTGAGCCCGTAGTGGACTTACCTGGCACAGGAGCGGGGCAAGTAGCACGGGCTATGGCGAGCCCGTAGTGGACTTACCTGGCACAGGAGCGGGGCAAGTAGCACGGGCTATGGTGAGCCCGTAGTGGACTTACCTGGCACAGGAGCGGGGCAAGTAGCACGGGGTATTGTGAGCCCGTAGTGGACTTACCTGGCACAGGAGCGGGGCAAGTAGCACGGGCTATGGCGAGCCCGTAGTGGACTTACCTGGCACAGGAGCGGGGCAAGTAGCACGGGCTATGGTGAGCCCGTAGTGGACTTACCTGGCACAGGAGCGGGGCAAGTAGCACGGGCTATGGTGAGCCCGTAGTGGACTTACCTGGCACAGGAGCGGGGCAAGTAGCACGGGCTATGGCGAGCCCGTAGTGGACTTACCTGGCACAGGAGCGGGGCAAGTAGCACGGGGCAAGTAGCACGGGCTATGGTGAGCCCGTAGCGGACTTACCTGGCACAGGAGCGGGGCAAGTAGCACGGGGTATGGTGAGCCCGTAGTGGACTTACCTGGCACAGGAGCGGGGCAAGTAGCATGGGCTATGGTGAGTCCGTAGTGGACTTACCTGGCACAAGAGCGGGGCAAGTAGCACGGGCTATGGTGAGCCCGTAGTGGACTTACCTGGCACAGGAGCGGGGCAAGTAGCACAGGCTATGGTGAGCCCGTAGTGGACTTACCTGGCACAGGAGCGGGGTCCTCTGGCGGTGGTGGCCGGTACTTAAACTAAAGGGTCGCCAAACGCCGCCACAAATCCTTACTATTCGCCACATATCACCCATTATAACTTACTATTCTGGCTCAGTGACGAGTCGTGTAGGTCGCCAATGTCACACTACGTTCCTTGTGTCTTGTTCGTCGAGGCTCTGCAGGGTGATGGGTGTGGTGGTTGACATAGGCATTGAAGACTTGCTTATTATTGATGCTTGATTCGTTGTCTTGGGGGGGTGACCACGGTGTGTGTACTCACCTATAGTTGTGCTTGCGGGGGTTGAGCATCGGCTCTCTGGTCCCGCCTCGGTGTTACCGCTTACCTGTGGCAACTTTCGTCCAAGGTAAGATGCATACGCACCTGTTAATAATATTAATAATTTATATATATATATATATATATATATATATATATATATATATATATATATATATATATATATATATATATATATATATATATATATATATATATTAAAGCCATTTGATAGAAGAATTCGTATGTAATTTAATTTATATAAAGCCAATAATTTATATACATATTGCAGAACGTTTAAGTGCTTAAGTTGCGAGTGCATGTGTTTGCTGGGTGACTCATGTATATGTAGAGTTGCGTTTGATGTTTACAAGCTGTAACTGCCTTTTTCCCGACAGTAATCTATATATGCAACGCCTACTGTCCTAAGTGATCATCATGGCTCCTACTGATTTTATCTACATTATTGTGTGTGTGTCAGGCTTATATCAACGTCCCCTTGAAGGTCGAACTACTGAACTAACGCTATAACAAGGAGACTAACTCCTGGGAACCTATTTACTGCTGGGTGGAAAGGGGCATTATAGGTGATTGGAAACGTGTTCAACCATGTCTCTCCCGCCCTGGGATTAGAACCTGGAATTCCCGATTGTGATTCATTCTCAATATTTTTACATATTTTATATATATTTATAATAGTCTTAGGATTGGGGATTTATTTATTTTAATTTATTATACACCTCACACCCATCCAGTGGGTGAAATAGACATTTCGTACAAAATTTATTAGCGTTACCCCTTTAATATTTAATTTTCTTTGAGACTAAAGAAGATGTCATCTTTAATTTTAGGGAGACTCGACAAATCTTGAAACTTTCTCTTAGAGTCCTTCCATTTTTTTTTTTTTTTTTGAGATATATCCAAGAGTTGTTACATTCTTGTAGAGCCACTAGTACGCGTAGGGTTTCGGGCAGGTCCCTGGAATACGATCCCCGCCGCGAAGAATCGTTGTTACAACCAAGTACACATTTTACTGTTGAGTTAAAAAGAGGCTACAGTTAAGGATTTGCGCCCAGTAAATCCTCCCCGGCCAGGATACGAACCCATGACAATCCATGGTCGAAGGTTTCATGTGGTACCTTATCAAATGCTTTAACAATCCATGTATACTACATCTTCTCGGTGTCCTTTGTCTGAATAGCTGGCTACTGTTTCCAAATGTGTGAGCAGGGCTGTATGGCAGGATTTATTTTTAACAAAATCATGTTGCTTTGATATTACTTAATTGCTCAGTGATATGACGAATGATTCCATTCCTTAGAATTCTCTCCGTGGACTTGCAGGAATGTGAGGCCAGGCTGATTGTACGGCTGTTTAATTGGGGATCTCTGGATTAATTGGTTCAGAGATTTTCATTAAAGGAGGTTCAATACTCACCTTATAGTGTTGGGTTGAGCTTCAGCTCTTTGGCCTCTCAACTCATCAATTTGGCCTGTTAATCAACTGGCGTACAGATTTCTGAGCCTACTGGGCTCTATCATATCTATACCTGAAACTGTGTATGGAGTCAGCCTCCACCACATCACTGCCTAATGCATTCCATTTTTTTAACTACTCTGACACCGAAAACAATCTGTTTAATGTCTCTGTGGCTCATTTGGGCACTCAGTTTCCACCTGTGTCCCCTTGTTCATGTTCCACCATGCTAAATAGTTTGTCTTTTTCCACTTTGTCAATTCCTAGACATAGTGGCAGGGCATATAGAGCTTATCTGCCAGGTACTTTACGACTTTGTGTTAAATTTCATCCACACCCGGGGCTTTTGAAGCTTTTAGTTTGTCAATGCTCTCCTTGTTTACATCGGACGTTGTGGATATACATCGTGGATGTGAATGGACATAATGGTATGTCCACTCACATCGCCTGCTTCAAACATTGATGTTGGTAATGGGGTGCTGTATAATCTTATGTGAACACTGATGTAAAGTATTCATTCAGAATGTTGGCTGCCCCATTTATCTATTATAACTTGGTTGGTCTCATCTTTTAAGAGACCTACGGAGTTCTTTGCTTTTGTTTTATATTTGACTTAGGTTTAGAAAGACTTTGTGTCGTTGTTTCTAGTAGGGTTTTGAACAAATCCACAAGGGCCGTGACGAGGATTCGAACCTGCGTCCAGGAGCATCCCAGCCTTAATCGATGTCTGGGATGCTCCTGGACGCAGGTTCGAATCCTCGTCACGGCCCTTGTGGATTTGTTCATTTGATGCATCATGTTAGTTTGATCTCTGTGTGTGTAGTAGGGTTTTCTTTCGAAGTTTCTTATGGCTGATTAAATTTCTTGAATGGCTGAATTAAAGTCCTTTTGTCTGTTTTATAATCTATGTTGATTTTGTGGATTGATTCCTTCTCCAATGGCTGCGCTTAATTATTACAGGTATTTTACTGTCTGTGTTATCCATCTAGTTCTCTTTTCTTTTCCCTATTCTTTCTTTTGGACCATATTTTTGTACCAGTTCAGTGATGACCTTTTTGAAATTTTCTCATGATGCCTCCGTGTCTTAATCAACTATTAAGTCCACCTAAGAGATGTTTTGCAGTTCCTCTTTCATTCCTTGATTGTCTCCTCGAGGATAATTTACAGAAGTCATCCCCCTAGACCTTCACAGGGTTTTCTGTAATTGTAATCCATCTTAGAATATGAGGATCACACGAAGGGAGAGAGGGGGAGGGGAGCTATTCCCTTACCAGACTGTGATTCATACATCAGGCTGCGAGTAGATGCGTCCAACAGCCTGGTTGACCAGTCTAGCAACCAGGAGGCCTGGTCGGGGACCGGGCCGTGGGGACGTTGAGCCTCGAAATCATCGCAAAGTAACCGGAAGATAAGGTACCTGTATTTAAACGATCTTGACCGCTTCTGATGTTAATACAAGAGCTAGAATCCTGTTACATTCTAGATCTTCCACGTGCAGTATGAGGAAGCCGTCAAGTATCACGTGCAGTATGAGGAAGCCGTCAAGTATCACGTGCAGTATGAGGAAGCCGTCAAGTATCACGTGCAGTATGAGGAAGCCGTCAAGTATCACGTGCAGTATGAGGAAGCCGTCAAGTATCACGTGCAGAAGCCGTCAAGTATCACGTGCAGTATGAGGAAGCCGTCAAGTATCACGTGCAGTATGAGGAAGCCGTCAAGTATCACGTGCAGTATGAGGAAGCCGTCAAGTATCACGTGCAGTATGAGGAAGCCGTCAAGTATCACGTGCAGTATGAGGAAGCCGTCAAGTATCACGTGCAGTATGAGGAAGCCGTCAAGTATCACGTGCAGTATGAGGAAGCCGTCAAGTATCACGTGCAGTATGAGGAAGCCGTCAAGTATCACGTGCAGTATGAGGAAGCCGTCAAGTATCACGTGCAGTATGAGGAAGCCGTCAAGTATCACGTGCAGTATGAGGAAGCCGTCAAGTATCACGTGCAGTATGAGGAAGCCGTCAAGTATCACGTGCAGTATGAGGAAGCCGTCAAGTATCACGTGCAGTATGAGGAAGCCGTCAAGTATCACGTGCAGTATGAGGAAGCCGTCAAGTATCACGTGCAGTATGAGGAAGCCGTCAAGTATCACGTGCAGTATGAGGAAGCCGTCAAGTATCACGTGCAGTATGAGGAAGCCGTCAAGTATCACGTGCAGTATGAGGAAGCCGTCAAGTATCACGTGCAGTATGAGGAAGCCGTCAAGTATCACGTGCAGTATGAGGAAGCCGTCAAGTATCACGTGCAGTATGAGGAAGCCGTCAAGTATCACGTGCAGTATGAGGAAGCCGTCAAGTATCACGTGCAGTATGAGGAAGCCGTCAAGTATCACGTGCAGTATGAGGAAGCCGTCAAGTATCACGTGCAGTATGAGGAAGCCGTCAAGTATCACGTGCAGTATGAGGAAGCCGTCAAGTATCAAATCAAGAAATTGTTATCCCTCTGCTTGTGAGTTAGATTCGCAAAGTCTATTGTCTCATGGTTGAAGTCCCCCATTATAAGAACTTAGGTTTCCACTGTTGCAGAGATTGCATTATGCAAATCAGTCCTCTGCTGTTGATGTGTATACCTTACAGTAGATGTGTATACCTTACAGTAGATGTGTATACCTTACAGTAGATGTGTATACCTTACAGTATACTTCCACTGTCATTTTTTTTTTTTACAATTTTGAGTTATTAAATTGCACCATACAGATTCTGAGGATCCCATGGGTTTTATTTATTTATTTATTTATTTATTTATTTATTTATTTATTTATATACAAGAAGGTACATTGGGTTTGTGAGAGTACATAGCCTTGATATTTTTTATATTCTTGTAAATTTAAGCTGTTGTGGGTAGCATCCTGCGAACAGTCAGTCGCTGGCCTGGACCAAGGGATTTCAACCCTTTATCCTCCTCCATGCACCTTTGAGTATCAACAGTGTCACACACACCTGCTCCAGTAATATGTTCACTAATATGAAGAAAAACATTGAGTTGTGTATATTTATTAATAACTTTAATAGATGGTTAATATAACATAACAATTTCATGTGTTAAAAAAATATACACCGGAGCCGGGAGCCGGTCGGCCGAGCGGACAGCACGCGGGACTTGTGATCCTGTGGTCCTGGGTTCGATCCCAGGCCCCGGCGAGAAACAATGGGCAGAGTTTCTTTCACCCTATGCCCCTGTTACCTAGCAGTAAAATAGGTACCTGTGTGTTAGTCAGCTGTCACGGGCTGCTTCCTGGGGGTGGAGGCCTGGTCGAGGACCGGGCCGCGGGGACACTAAAAAGCCCCCGAAATCATCTCAAGATAACCTCAAGATACACATCAATTAAAAAGAAAATTCTTGAACTATTAAGCAAATCGTCACCTGTGGTTGTGAAGTATAAATTTCTAAGCTAAAGAGTTCGTGTTTAATGGAACCAAAACTACGCAATTAAACGTCTTTAGAAAATATTTCCCATAGAAACTGCAACAAAACTCAAGGATAATTTGCAGTTGTTTTCTCATAATCTGTCTTTAAATACTGGTAATACCGTCTTAGATGCTAAGTCAATGAATTCTGCAGATGAAGAGTCACAATAACGTGGCTGAAATATGTTGACCAGACCACACATTAGAAAGTGAAGAGACGATGGCGTTTCGGTCCGTCCTGGACCATTCTCAAGTCGATTGTGGCCACCAACTCACAAATGAATGAATTCTGGCCACCAACTCACAAATGAATGAATTCTGGCCACCAACTCACAAATGAATGAATTCTGGCCACCAACTCACAAATGAATGAATTCTGGCCACCAACTCACAAATGAATGAATTCTGGCCACCAACTCACAAATGAATGAATTCTGGCCACCAACTCACGAATGAATGAATTCTGGCCACCAACTCACAAATGAATGAATTCTGGCCACCAACTCACAAATGAATGAATTCTGGCCACCAACTCACAAATGAATGAATTCTGGCCACCAACTCACGAATGAATGAATTCTGGCCACCAACTCACGAATGAATGAATTCTGGCCACCAACTCACAAATGAATGAATTCTGGCCACCAACTCACAAATGAATGAATTCTGGCCACCAACTCACAAATGAATGAATTCTGGCCACCAACTCACAAATCATTTGAATAAATTACTGAAATTTGCTTACAGAAATATCCAAATATTAAAAATTTGTGGGGGTGAGAATTTGGAGAGGAATGGACACCGTACCTTATGGAGGGGGACATGGACCCCTTCTATACCTTTTGGACCCCTTCTATACCTTTTGGAGGGGGACATGGACCCCTTCTATACCTTTTGGAGGGGGACATGGACCCCTTCTATACCTTTTGGAGGGGGACATGGACCCCTTCTATACCTTTTGGAGGGGGACATGGACCCCTTCTATACCTTTTGGAGGGGGACATGGACCCCTTCTATACCTTTTGGAGGGGGACATGGACCCCTTCTATACCTTTTGGAGGGGGACATGGACCCCTTCTATACCTTTTGGAGGGGGACATAGACCCCTTCTATACCTTTTGGAGGGGGACATAGACCCCTTCTATACCTTTTGGAGGGGGACATGGACCCCTTCTATACCTTTTGGAGGGGGACATGGACCCCTTCTATACCTTTTGGAGGGGGACATGGACCCCTTCTATACCTTATGGAGGGGGACATGGACCCCTTCTATACCTTATGGAGGGGGACATGGACCCCTTCTATACCTTATGGAGGGGGACACGGACCCCTTCTATACCTTATGGAGGGGGACATAGACCCCTTCTATACCTTTTGGAGGGGGGGGGACATAAATCCCCCCCCTTCATACCATATGGAGGGGAGGGGGGCACGGACCCCCCATACTGTATGAACAGCATTCCTCTAGTTGTATTTACCCAGACGCGTGACTGGGCAGGCGCCTGTAATGTTAACAGCAAGTGGGTGATTGCAGAGTGATGCCGCACTCCCTCTGCCTCCTGTGCTCTATTAGTCTGTCAATAGAGCAGCAGAGCTCTCCAGGTTCTGATTAGAAAACGAGGATCCGTATGATTAGATCTGAGGACGATTATAGGTCTTGTAAACACGAGTTATAGTGGTTTGAACTCGCTTAGAGAGGCAGGGCCAGAGGGGAAGGGCAGTGGATGGCACCTCGTGGCACCTCCTCGCAGAGTCTATAATATATCCCTAACGCAATCTGCAGTCTTCACTTGCGTTCAGTCTTGTTCACGGCTCCCAGTGCCGCTTGTCTCGCCTCACGCTTCGAATCCATACGCCTCTCAGATCAGAAAGAGCAGCAACGGGTGTAGATTAAAAGTCGTCCCATACAGCGTCTGACGTAACTGGTCTCTGGGCTGAGTGAAAGCACATTAAGGATCCTTGAGCTGAAACGCGCACTTGGAAGAGAAAACTGTTACTCGTCATTCACGTGGCTGTATAGTTGCGTAACCTGTGAGTAAGCTGTGAGGCGTGAGTAAGGGGGTGAGTAACCCGTAGAGCCCCGAGTAAGCCGTGTGTTACCCGTGAGTAAGCTGTGAGTATGGGAGGCTCCTCATCCCTGCTAGTTCGTTACAACAAGACTGTCCTTCTTGTCCCGGAAAACCTGACTCTCCTCAATCTCAGTAAGTTCACAACACTTCCCGCCTGCTGATCTCTAACGGGCTTACCATAGCCCGTGCTACCTGGAACTTTTTGTTCCAGGTAGCGAATCTTTAATGACAACAACTACTCTAAACCATACTAGATATACAAACCAAAAAATTACCTCGCTTCTCGGAGTATACACTAAGAGTTTGTTGACCAGACCACACACTAGAAGGTGAAGGGACGAGGACGTTTCGGTCCGTCCTGGACCATTCTCAAGTCGATTTGACTTGAGAAGGAATCGACATTGTTTGACAAACAATAAATCGTTGAATCGACTTGAGAATGGTCCAGGACGGACCGAAACGTCCTCGTCCCTTCACCTTCTAGTGTGTGGTCTGATCAACATACTTTAGCCACGTTATTGTGACTCATCGCACTGCACTAAGAGTTTATCTTAGTTTTGGACTATGTTCAGAACCTTTGTACTCTTGCGGGAGCCAAGACCTACGTTTTTTTTTGTCGATTGGTCAGTAAGTTGTTCATTAGGGTCATAATAACTTTCTGGAGGTTGATAGGCCTTAGGCTCATTTCATTTAATAATTAAGCGCCCCATTGGCCCGCCACCTAACTTCCTGGTTGGTTAGTAAGTTGTTAAGGAGGCTTTAATAACCTTTCAGAGGTTGATAGACCTCTTCCCGGCGCATATTTGCAATGTTCAGGATCTTGTTCCAACCGCAGTGGAATTTTTGGTACCATGTCCTTTGGTAACCTTGCAAACCGAAATCACAATAGTCTGATGAATCAATGAGAAAATATTGGAGCAGTACTGTGGGATCAAACTCTAGATTCCGGCGTTTCCAGAAATCTATATATAGCCCTTTTGAAGGCACTGCAACTATATTGAATGATTCTTTTTATGTATAAAATGCATGATACTGCACATATGTGTCGATGAGGTGTGGCTGATGAGGCCTTGACATGGTTCAGCACATTAGACATGGTAGCCATGTCTGCCCCACGTCGGGTATGGTATCCTATCCAATCCTCTTTGGGTATGGTATCGCTATCCACTCCACTTGGGTATGGTACCCTATCCTCTCCACTTTGGGTATGGTATCGCTATCCACTCCACTTGGGTATGGTACCCTATCCTCTCCACTTTGGGTACGGTATCCTATCCACTCCACTTGGGTATGGTACCCTATCCACGTCACATTGGATATAGTACCCCATCCTCGCCACTTTGGGCATCCTACCACTTCCACTCCATTCTGGGCATGGTACCCCATCCCTCACTCTTGGCATGGTATCACCACCCCCCCCCCCTTTCCCTCAACCATATGACATGGTAGGCCCCGACCCTCCATTTGTCATACTTAAAATGTAGTGGGCACCTCTACCCATCTGGCAGCTGTGGTCTGGGTAGGATATACTAAAGATCATACCCCACATACACAAACCTGTGATACTTGGCTAAGATTTCTGGTAATACATCATTCTGAATTAAATATTTAGAAGTTTCTTGAACATTGGTGAGAGAATTATCTCTAAATTCTTGAGTTTTGTTTCACGTTCCGTCCCAAGGTGTGCGAATAGCTTCCCCTGGCTGTTAACACGGGTTTACATTCCGTCAGGTTTACAAGGACAGGTTTACAAGGGCAGGTTTACATTGGGTTTATATTGACTGGTGGCGGGGCAGGCTCGCGGAGGTATTTATATCCTAGCCTAACATAGCAGTGATTATTTCAGGAAACAAACAATGTAATACAACGGTATTTTAACGTTCGTCCAACGGTATTACGTCACAGGGAGTTCTCACGTTACGTTTGCTGTGATCTACTAGACTGTTGGTTCTGGTTGATGACATGATGTATATATG